TTCTCATGATAAAATGGGGAAAGGTATCTTTGGTCAAACAGGGAACTACAAATGTAATGTTTCCAATTGTGGCACTTGCCAGTATATGTGGCATAGAAAAAAGGAAATATGTTCCTTGGAAAATACCTTCCCCATTAAACAGTTTATCAATTGTGGCAGTGAATATGTATTGTATGGGTTAATATGCCCTTGTGGGAAATTGTATGTGGGGAGGACATCAAGATCTCTTAGGACACGTTTTGGAGAACATAGACGGAGCATTGCCAATAAGAATGACAAACAGCCAGTTCCGAAGCATTTTCTAAGACACCAAAATGCCAGTCTCGACAATTTGAGAGTTTTCGGTATTGAGGCAATTCCCACCCTGAGGGATGAAGGCATCAGGCATAAAAAACTGTGTGAAAGGGAAATGTTCTGGATATTTAAACTAAAAAGCCTTGCACCAAATGGTCTAAATGAGGCGTTCGAGGTAGCTTCAGTCATCTAATATTCAATATTTCATACTTCATAAATGAGTCTCTCTATGTCTTATCGATTTGGATACATTCTTCCAGTTGTAACGTGATCTATTTTGGTTGTTTGTATCCAAGGGGCCTCCCAAGAGGCTATCACATGTTGTAGTCATTGGCCTTGCCTGGTGACATTGTTATTGGTGAAAAGATATATTTATCCATTTAGTTGTTTGTTTTTTTTCCTTATTTTATGAAGGTGCAATCACCAATGTAGCATACAATCAACTTTGTTGTTTACTTTTTAATTCCATTTTCTTTGAGAGATTTGGGTAGATCAGATGCATATTGCCGAGTAACAAGCAGTGCAAAATATGCTCAGCTCATAATATAAGATTGCCCCATGCTTTTGAATCTCCATATGAATTGAAGGTCGGGTTGATCCATCAATTAGACCATGGCCGTGTGATCATTGGGTGGCATACATGGCCATATAATAGCAAAACCTCTCTAATTCTGCGTTAGAGCTAATCACTCCAGGACGTGTATGTATGTATATATATATATATATTTTTTATGGATTCATTTTTATGGGAATTTTTTTATATATATATTTTGTGTCTTCATTATGGATAATGGTTTAGAATGAATAACAGAATCTTCCTCCTATATATGTGGATATGCATCCATTAACTATATTCTTTCAGTAGTAATATGATCATTTCTGTTTTTTATGTCCAAAAGGCCTCCCTTATGGGCCATCACATGTTGTATTGGCCAGCCTTATGTAGGGGCATTTTATTGGTCTTAAAAAGTTTTTGTTACAATTTATATATAAATTATTTGTATCTTCAATTTTTTATTTTCAAATTCATCTCTGACGGTGCAATCACCAATGTAACATGTTTTATGAACTATATTGTTCACTTCTTATTCCAATTTTTTGAGAGATGTGGGTAGACTGGATACAGATTGCCGAGTAATAAGCAGTGCTAAGTTTGAAGTACTGCTTAGCTCATAATATAAGATCACCCCATGCATTTGAAATCTCCACAGGAATTGAATGTCGGGCTGATTTATTAATTAATTAGCCAGAGCCTGTGCGATCATTGGGCGAGCCAATCACTCCAAGACTAGTCACAATGGAGACATTTTCTCTAATTGGTCGGTTTCCAGTCCTATACCCCACTCTCAGGGAAAGCAAGCTATGATTCTGAGGAAGGGGGCTTGCCCCTGAAACGCGTCAATCTTTGCTCACTGCGGTCGGTGGATGGTGATGTGACCGGAGACTACCGTGTTACATGGTCGGGGATATACCATGTTGGGTTAACAGACAGTGTGGCCTCTCATTTGTTGTTAAAGCCTGATGAAAACGTTTGTGAGTACTTTTATCCCTTGTTTTATTTATTGTAATAAACGATTTTACACACGGAGGTGGCGCTCTGTTCCCTTTTGTTTTCTATATTCGTGGTGGAAGCCCCAGAGCCTTGGATGAGCAGCCCCTCAAGTCTGTGTAAAAAAACTGTGATAAACTGTTGAAAACTTTGAGTGTGCAACAGCAAGTGGATTGTTCAGCTGGCAGCCATTAGCGCCAAGAACTAAAGAAAACCTTTTGTCCGATTGTTAATTGCCTGCCTTGAAGTTGTCTCAGTACCCACTGCCTCAGCAAAGGGTTCCCATCATTTTCTATTTTCTTGGATCTACTACATACCTGCTCAAGACCTATCTCAAACCTATTTCTCTCTGCCTAGTTCATTCACTGGATTTTGCATCAGACTAAGGATTAAACTGCATTGGATGTACCTGTAAAGTTGCGATTTAGAAGTGGTCATTCACAACTGCAAATATAGTTTGTTAGGTAGTAAAGTTCACACACCTATTTTTTATCTGTGCATTTAACTGTTAACTGGAGTTTCCAACTTTAATATGATTTACCCTAGGATATTTAATTTCTTTTTTTATCCAGCTCACTTTCTCTGTGTCCTTGCTGTGTTGTGTGTACTGCTAACCAGCTCGGAGTCTGTTATTTTCTACACTTTGCAGTTTAAATATAGAAAATCTAGTGTCTTTTTTTTCTCTAGGTCTCCATTCCACTAAGAGATGGTTTGTAGGTCACTGACGGATTATTCCAGATTACATCTACAAAGAATAGGTCAAGCTTAAGTACCCCATGTGCACTGAAAATGTATATTTAACTAAAAATAATGAATGCCTTACTGCTAATGAAATGCCCTTTGTTTTATCTTTTATTAATTTTGTGAGTGTTAATATGCATAGAGGTATTTTACATAAATATGCACACTTTACTTTCTTTGCATTGACCATGCATGAGGCACATGCCTGAAAATCCTTTTAAAAAGGAAGGTATAGTGGTTTTATACATATTTGTTTTCTTATTTATGACCAAGAGCAAGAAAAAACAAAAAAAAAACATTGTTGTTTGACAGGTAAATTACAAATACTAAATATGAATATTTTATATTTTCACAGGCTACTAGCAGGTGGAGCTCTAGTATGAAGTGCGAACATTTTCTCTCTTGTATGCTTTCTACACAAATGTTTGTTTCCTCCAGGTATTCCGAGTTCCTCTCTCATTCCAAAAACATATACTGGTAGGTTTGCCAATTTCTACACAAAGCTAGATTTAAAATGGCCCCTTGGGGAAAGAGACTGCATGGTGTTTATGTGAGGATGCCCTTGGTGAGGTTTAAGAGTAACAATGTTTACAACTTAAATGTAACAGCATCAACTTGCCCTCCTTATGTTATGAATACCTCCTAAATACCTTACAGTGCTGGGGTATTGAGTACCAAGCAAGGACTTTTGAAACATGGTTTGTACAAAATAATCATGTCTGCCTGCACTTGTTTTGACTCTCTGTGAATCTCTGTTTATACAGTATATCTGCAGAGGAGAATAGGATGTTTCCAGGTCCAATACTCTGTAGCCCTCTGATAACAAGCAGAAGTACCTGTGGTAAGCTTCTTTCACCATAGAGATAAATGGAGTTCATACGACAGCCGCTGCCAGCCCAGGAGGGTAGAATTAGGGCCCTAATGCCTTTTTAGGGCACCCTAAAGTTCTGCTACAGGTAGTGGACACAGATTGCCTACTTCTGTGGGAGAAATGTGAAAGGCCCATTTGCACTATTGAGTGTTCCTATTCATTAAAATGGGCTGCCTAACGCACCAAAAGAGGTGTACTTGGCATTTCTGGCAGTGCATTGCACAAACACAAGCAACATCAGTTAACGCAAAAGTGTGAATGGGCCCTCACTCTGGAGTCTAGCACTGAGAACTACTTGCTCTGTATACAGCTGATGAAGAATAGGCTTTTTGTTCTGCCCTCTATGAACACCATCTATCCAATACATTAACTCCAGTCATTGGAATCAATTTAAAAAGAGAACTAAAGCCAAACTCTTTTTGGGGGTTTAGTTCAGTTTTGGGTCACAGGAGCACATTTGCTAATGTACTCCTGTGACCCAAACTCACCATATAGCGGGCTACTGTCCGCTATATGCTGACAGTGCAGTGCCGCTCTGCAGCCTGAAAGTATCTCGACAATATTGTCAGGATCCACCCTGCTGCCTGACAGCTAACTGTGCCTCTCTAGAGCCAGATGTGCCCGCCCCTCCCCTGTCTGCCCCTCCAGTGAGCACATGAGGAATAGAGGGGAGGGAATCCCTGTGGGGAGAGGCGACTGACTGTCACCGCTCTCAGCATGGGGAAGACTGAGCTGAGCGATCAACAGTCTGTGATCACTCAGTTGTTGATCTATTGAGCTGGCGTGTGACAACTGTAGAGTAACACCGGCTCCAAGCATTAGGAAGAGTACATTTTACTCTCCCAATACTTCTCTTTTAATATGAGTCAGTAAAAAAAAAAAAATAGTTTGTAGCGTTTGATTGCTCTAAGTCGTTCCAGTTTCTTTGTTTTCAGTGTTATACATGTCAAAACATTTCTAGCTTCATCCAATGTGACAGCATCTATATATTTAAACATGTTGCATATCCACTTGGATTAGTACTCCTTCTATTCACCACAGCTTTTGCATATATATTACTTCAGTTCATCAATATCACTCAAGAATGGCAGCCAGAGGTCCATGGGATATGGTGTCCTTGGTTTGAGATCTCCAGCCAACAAAAATGCATGCCAAGGTTCCATGTTACAAGATTTATTCCATCAAGTTGTATATAAAAAAAAACAACTTGTGCAGTTTCCTATTTGTCACAGAGCGGCTTATTTTTTGGTTTATAGATCCACAACAGAAACCAAGTTCCTATGGGGGAACCTAGCTACAGACCACTCACATGCCTTTGTGTTGCTGGTTACTCCTTTTATTGAGATGGGTTTATGTGATAGTGTACTTGTGGATAAATAAAAGTAAGGAAGGTTCTGAATGTAGGGAACAATTATATCACTTTAATAAATAATAGCCAGACATGAGATACCATTTTGTATTATGCTTTATTATACAGCTTTCTGAATAAAAAATACACAAAAGAATAAACATTTTAAATTACTGTTTAATATTTACAACATATATATCCCAATAAATCATTCCAAAAGTTAGATTTTTGGGAACACTTTGTTTCCATGCATGGCACATGAAATAAGAAGTTTTCTGCATTCCAGGGGTAAGTGTCTTTCAATAAGAACATTGAAGGAAGTAGTATCAGTCACCAAACCCTGCCTAGAAGTGAGAGAATACTTTGAGTAAATCACTGTTTACACAAAATTGACAAAAAACTATGTCATTATGTACATTCCAAACAAACAGTAGGTTTTGTTTGCTAATTTCCAATTAAATAGGCTGGGAAACAAAACTTTCTATTTGATGTATGAATGCATATGCATGCATATGGGTGTCAGCCAAAGTCTGTTTCAATGTGGACTTTGAAAAACAGTTACAATAGTCAGCCTGGTACAAGCCACAAGTGCAATAGGGATAGAAAGGTGTCATAGGACCCAACTAGAAAAGTACTTTACAGAGCAACAAAGCAATCAAACAGTGCTAAGCATATCTAATATAAATATTAACTTGAAACATTCTACAAATGCATTACTCCTAAAAAGAGCTACCACATGTACATTCATCACAAAGACATGCTTGCTTAATTTTAGTCTCTTCTGCTATAATTTCAGTCAAAACAAAGATATTCCTTTTCTGTGTCAGCTAATTAGGAGAGTCTGCATGCATGATGAGATAATCTCTCTCGATCATACAGCACAGGACACAGGCAATTAATAGATGACTGGGTAATATGCAGATATCATCAGGTGATTGGACACTGGCCAGAGCTGTAACTTCATATAAAACCCTCCAATTCCAGGAAATCATTTTTTTTTGCCAGTGTCCTTAGGTGATGGACATGTTTCTTTCTCATAAGAAATTGTATTTAGTCTTACCTTACGTCTTCAATCAAGTTTCTTTGAGTGCACGTGGCCACCTCAGCAAAGATGCAGTTTCCAGATCGACGCCCCACAGCAGGGCTCTGACAACATTTTCAGCACTGTAGCCTGTGTGGGCTCTCACCTTGGCACATTTGTGCAGCATGTTTGGTTAGCTGCAGGGTGCTACAGAGGTCCAGGGCATTGATGTGACCCCATGCAAAAAACCTCCACCTATGCAGCCTCCTGGAGCCAGACCATGATTTTGCTGTTATGGCCCATTTGGGATCCTCGGCGGCCATATTGGGACTCCCTAGTCTGCCCGAGCATGCTCAGTACAGGCTGGGGTAGCCATTTTGCTAAGCCCTGCGGGATCTGCTAGTTTTTCCATGCTGATTTAAGGACTCTGCAGCTGGTGGTCATCTTGGAAGGGGGAATGGGCTCTGATCACATGCTGGAGGTGCATGGTTTTTGGATCCATTTCAAATCAGTGAGCATTTTGTATTTCTCAAATGCAAGGACCACTGTGACCACTACAGAGGCCCTTATGTAACCCTTGGCGCTGGCATTTGTAAATACCCATTTGGGGCCCCTCACCATGGAAGGCTAAAACAAAAAGGATCCTGTGCCATCTGCTTGGTCAGTCACCCGCACTCCGTTAGTAAATAGCAGTCAATCTTCTTTATTGACTGAACATAATGTCACATACACAAACCTTTGTGTATGTGACATCATGTTCAGTCAATAAAGAAGATTGACTGCTATCTACTATAGGAGTGCAAGTGACTAATTGACCAAGCAGATGGCACGGGATCCTAGTTCCATTCTACAGGTGCTTATCTTTTAGGGTGTCTGGACTTTGCGTGGACAGTTTGGCCAACACCCTGCTCAGGTCTTGAGGATAGGACCTGGTTGGTGGAACCAGTATGCAAGCAACAATGGGTGAGCATCTGTTCATGAAGGCTTTAATGCTTTTATTAAAAAGGTCACGGATTGGAAGAGTACTCTCTTGCCCAGCAAGTGGAAGGCCAGGCACTGTTCGCTAGCTCCTGTTAAGGACCAGCTAGGAAGAGTTCTTTTGTCCCTCTTGGGTCTCCACCTCCAAGTCAAAGACAGCCCCTTAGCTCTGGTCCCTCCAAGGTTGTCAAACCTGGCATCAAGCCCTCCTACCAATAAGGGGGAGTCCCCACTTAAAGAAGTGGGGGGACTTTTGTTCATCTTTGCGATCATCTGGGATTGAAACATCCAGTGTATGTGGCATGAAAGGGTTCTACTCCAATCTGTTCTCAGTTCCCATGCCAAATAGGAGAGTACATACCATCCTGGAACTGAAGTCACTAAGCCAGTTCTTGCAGGTGCGCAAGTTACATATGGAATCAGCTTGCTTCATAATTGCCTCCTTTTTGCAGGGAGATTTCTTGCATCAGTGGGCATCAAGGATACCTACCTGCATGTGCCAATTGTCCCTGCTCATCAATGATGCCTGTGATTTTCTTTGGGAAAAAATAACTAACTCAGTTGTGGCTCTACCCTTTGGCTAGTCCACGGCTCCACTGTTTTTTACCAGGACGTTGGGTCCAATATTTGCCTCCCTCCATTCTTAGGGTTTTCACATTTTGGCTTATCTGGTCAACCTTCGCTTGAAGGTTCAGTCCAAATAGACCTAATTCAGACAGTTTAACTGTGGTTGGGAGCTAAACTTCCGAAAGTCTGCACTGCTAAAGAGTTCCTAGGGTTCCTCCTGGACATAGTCCAGAGCAGGATATTTCCTCCCCAGGAGAATCTGATGACTCTGCAATCCGAGGTGTGGGACCTTTGGTCCAAGGATCCGCCCTTGGTTAGATTTGCGATAAGTTTTGGGACAGATGGTTGCCTTCAAGGAAGTTCCCTATGCTCGATTCGATTCCAAACCGCAGACTCCTTCTCTAGACCACCCCATGTGTCTGTCAGCTGAGGCAAAAATCTCACCATCTTGATGGGTTTCCGATCTTTTGGGGGATCGAGTAAAATCCTTCTTGGGATGTTGTTTTTCCTACTAGGGACCTACTCTCTTAGGTAATCCAGACAGTCAAGCAACATTTGGGAGTTAAGTGATTTGTCTCTCCCCTCATCGGTCGGGTCACCGGCAGGGCCTACTGGTTAATGTTCAGTCTGACAACTCAATATCTGTGGTGTGCATCAACCACCAAGGTGTAACCAGAAAACGCTGTGCAGGAGATCTAATCCTGTCTTGAGTAGAATGTCATGTTCCAGCCGTATATATCGGGCACATCCCTAGAGTGCACAACTGACAGGCAGATTTCCTCAGTCAATAGAGCTTGGATTTGGAGGATTGGTCTCTGTTCCCCTGAAGTATTTCAGGGGATCTGCTGATGCTGTTTTGATGCTGGATGTAGATATGATGTCCAGAGCAAGCATCAAGCTGGACAGGTTTGTATCCAGGTCCAGGGACTCAAGAGAAATCACAATGGATGCGCTGATAGCTTTGTGGGATAAGTTCTCCCTGTGCTGTATGATCGAGAGAGATTATCTCATCATGCATGCAGACTCTCCTAATTAGCTGACACAGAAAAGGAATATCTTTGTTTTGACTGAAATTATAGCAGAAGAAACTCCTGTTTTACCAGCTTCTTCGCTAAAAATGAACTACATTATCAAAATTGTTTAATACATTTTTTTGCAATGATTCTGCAAATGTCAAACCTCACTACCATCACTATTTTGGTACTTTGCAGGGTTGGGAAAGCTGCACTCTTCTGTTTTTGAGAAAATGGTTAAAAAAACAGAATGCCACAGCACAGGGTTACAGGAACGATGAAAACTCTTTGCTTGAGAGATTAAAATTGCTTGTTGACTGTCATCTAATTATAATCACATTATTTGTCATGTGCTGCAAATGACATAAGTACCAAGAAACAACTTAGTTGTATATAGACCCAAGAACGAAAATGGACTTAGACATGGTGGCTTCTTTTTCTGTTTCTTTTCATCTGGTGATCCTGCCAGCAAGACACATCCAGTCCTAGGGTAATTTCCCATACTCAGAGTTATGTATCTATGAAGGAGCAGCATTGTGACCCTAATACAAGGGTGTGATAGGAATACAGAATGCACCCCCCACCATCATCTGCATAAAGAAAGTTATGAACTCACAGGACTTCTGCCAGATCTACAGGTAATTTGTACACTTTTAGAAGAGATATAGCAGTACAAGAACAGCAAAGTTCACAAGCATATCAACCAGAGTAGAGATTGCCATGTCCTTAAATGAACACAGAGAAAATGATCTTAGTGATTTTACAGTCAGTAAAAAAACAACAACTATTTTCTCTTTCCTTCATTTAAAAGGACAAAGATCTACGGTCCAGATCCCATGATCTGGAGCGTAGGGACATCCCAAAGCAGCATCTACAGAGGGGTCCCTTACAAAAAATAACCGTAGTATAACTGCAGTACATTGAAGTACAACTGGAGTAAAACAGCAGCACAATTAAAGTAATGCTGCAGTAAAATTAAGAACAACTGCAGGTTTGTAATATAATGAAGTATAGAATACAGTAGAGCTGGTCCTTTTCTACACTATTGCACTTTGTGCCTACTGCACTTGTATTACTACATTGTACTGAAGTTATACTGTATTGCGCAACATGTAGCTAGTGCTGTGGTTACAGTACTAGGAGTCGACCAATATAGATCTTTCAGAACCAATACCGATTCAGACCGATAACCGATATCAGGCACTGATATTCTGTTTACATCCAGCTGCACTAGCAGATGAATGTAAATAGCAGGGAGTCGCCGGAAATCGGTCGACCCCTACTGAGCCTCCGCCTCCCCACACCCCATTCATCGGCTGGCAGCCGGATTCTGCAGCTGATTGGATATAGCGGGCAATGGCATAGCCAGCCTGCTATTGGCTATTTCAAATTGCAATAGTAGGCTGACTATTAAACCCACGTTGGCTGCCGGCTCTGTTCCTACATAGATTTTTTGACCGGCTCCTTTGATCAGCCATACAGCGGCACACAGTGTGCAAATTTGCACAGTGTTTATCATTGGTAATATCTATAAATGTAACCGATAATTGAGTAACTCTACAGCAAAAAAAAAAAAAGCTATGAACCACTGCTAAGCAACATTAAAAGATGAACATTGTGTGTGTGTGTGTGTGTGTGTGTGTGTGTGTGTGTGGGTGTGTGTGTGTGTGTAGTGGTCAAAGCCCAATTGTTTCCAAGAACCACCTGCACTCCTTAGTGTATTACAACCTCGCTATATTAGTGGCGCTGATGGTGATCGCATGGA